GGCCTCCCGCCCGGAGCAGGCGGCGAGGCGAGGCGCGGGAGGCGCGCCTGGGGCCGGGGCGGCGGGGCCGGGGCCTGCGCGGGCTGCCGCTTGGCCCGCCGCGCGGGGCGGAGGGAGGAGGGCGCGCCTCGGGGGAAGGAGCCGTGGCTGCGCGGGGGCCGCGGCGGCGGGACGGTCCCCGGGTGCCTGCAGTGCTCGGCGGGGGTCGCGGAGCCCTCTCTGCCGTCCCGGCCGGGGCCCCGTTTCCCGCCGAGCACCGCCGGCTGCTGCTTGCGGGGCGGGGAAGGAGCGCTCGGCCCAGAGCCGCCCCTTCGGGTCGTGGGTGCCGCGAAATGCAAGCGGCCCCCGGGACCCGTTGCCTGCGGGGGTTGAATAAGGCCTCTTAATGGAAAGGGCCCCCTGAGAAAGCGGTGTGGGGGAAGAAGGGAGCAAATCCCCCGGCGGGACCACCAGTAGGAGGCTTGTGCTTGTGGTGCCTGGAAAGGGGGTTTGCACCGCCCAGATGCCCTGTGCCAGTGTCGCCATTACTCGAGCAAACGTGCCCGTCCTGGAATGTAGCGTTTAAGAGGCGCTACAAATGAAATAAATGCCTTTGTGATGATTTCTTGTGCAGACGCACACCGTGAACTAGTTTCACCTTCTGATTGTTTCCTCACAGCCTTCCAAATCGTTGGGCTCAAGGAAGGAAGCGCGGGGCAGACGGCAAACACAGAAATGCGTATGATCAAAGTGTGCCTGCTTCCGATGAGAAGCACACATGCAGTCTGTCTGACAGCAGGCCAGATAGGTATGTGGACAGAAATACTTCCCCAAGATAGTCCTGCTTAAGCGCATCTCAAAGTTGAAATGGAATAACTTGATTATCAATTACCAGTGGTATACAGATATGCAGAATTGTATGCTGTTAGAGAAATATATTTAGCCATAGCATAATTTATATTATGGAGGAGGCATTAATCACCTCCCTGGCTCGACTGATTGTGCCTTCTTTGCTGATTTATAAGCCAGGAAGGACAAGGATCCAGTACAGAGACGGGGACATGAACCTGTCCTCATGTTTTAACTACATACACATTTTAACTAAATAACTTACCAGAACTTGAACTGTGGGTTGATTTGTGGGGTTGCTAGTAAAAGACAGTTTTGATATTGTATATTTTAAACCCTGTGGTAAAGCTGCTACTGTCTTTCTTGGGACTTGGTTTGCAGTTTTACAACACCAGAAGGCCACAAGCCCCTTTCCAGGTGCTCAGACTGGGGGACTGCAGTTGAAGAAGATGAAATGAGGACCAGTGTTAATAAAGAAATGGCAAGGTACGGGTGTGTAAGTCTCTTTTTAGAAGTAGGGGAGAGTAGATTGTTTTAGCTGCCTGTAAAACAGAGCTGCCATACTCAGATGTGAGAAGCAGGTTTTTTTTGTGAGTAAGTTTTATTCTTAATATATCTAACAAGAAGAAACTAAGAAGCATCAGTCATCAAAAACATCAGACCTACTGGGTCAGCCCCCCACATTTTTTCTTTTTATGTTAAACTATAAACATATTTAAGTCTATGCATAGTCCCATTTCTCTAGCCAATAATAAAAAGAATCCCAGGTTTGATAGAAGTCTGTATCTCCTTTCTCCCTCAGTGACAATGTCAGTCTATCCAAGTCCAAGATCTTTTTTAGAATCAGTTCGTCGGAAGGTGGTTCTTCACTCTTCCAGTGTTGGGCAAATGCAATCCTCGCCGCAGTAGTTACATGTAGAGTCAAATACATTTCTTTTTTAATAAGATCATCAGGTACAATGCCTAATAAGAAAAGTTCAGGTTTAAATGTTAAAGGTTTTTGTAACATTTCCTCAAGCCATTTGTGTATTTAATCCAATACTTTTTTGCTTTATCACAAGTCCACCACATACGATAAAAAGTACCCGATTTGTATTTACATTTCCAACATCTATTTGACATATTTGGAAACATCTTAACTAACCTATTTGGTGATAAATACCATCATTTTATACAGATTTTCTTTATACGAAGTTGCTAATGTTACTTTAATATTTCTTTCCCACAGTTCTTGCCATTTCTCTAACTCAATATTATATCCAAAATTTTGTGCCCACATTCTCAGTTTCCTTAATCTGTTCATCTTCTATTCTCCTCTCCAGTAGGAAATTGTACAATCTTTTAATCATTTTCTCATCACATTTAAGAATCACGTGATCAAATGCTGTTGACTCCTTATGGAAGCCCCACATTTTATGATCTTTGGCATATCTAGATTGCATTTGAACCTTGTGCCACCAAGAAATACTTCCTTGTTCTTGTATTTCTTGGTTCAATTTTAATCCTCCATCATTATCCAAAATGTCATCGTATTTCACGATCGTATCAAAGTTCAATGCATTTGGATATACGAGAGCTTCCATAGGCGAAACCCATCTTGGTAATTTAGTATACAGTTTTGTCTTTAACTTTTCCCACACCGACATTAATGATTTCCTAATACAATGATTTAAGAAACAGCCATGTACCTTACACTTTTCATACCACGTATAAGCCTGCCAGCCCTTTTGCAAGTCAAGACACAAGGTTCTCTTATTTCGCAAAGTTACCCATTCTTTTAGCCACGTTAAAACAGGGGCTTGATAATACAGCATCCAATCGGGAAGACCAAAACCCCCATTCCTTTTAGCCTCCTGGAGCATTTTTAATTTAATCCTTGGTGTCTTCTTTTTCCATATAAATCTTGAAGTTTGAGTATTTAAATCATCAAAAAAATGATTTTTTGGAATAGGAACAAGAGCTTTGGTAATATACTCATTTTAGCTAGTGCTCTTCTTCGCAACAAGGGTAGTTGCAGATTAGCCCATTTTTCCAGGTCACCCTTAATTTCCTTAGATAGTTTATCATAATTAATCTTCTTTCAATGTAGTACACTTAGCTGTAAGAAGAATTCCCAAGTATTTAACCTTTTTAACAATGTGAAGATCTTCTTGTTCTACCAGAGTTTTTCTCTGTTCCAATGTAAGGTTTTTACTAACCATTTCGTCTTGTCTCTGTTTATTTTCATCCCGGTAACCTCGCCACATTCTTCAATCCTTTGTAGGAGTTTAGGCATTGTTACCACGGGTTCCTCCATTATAAAAACTAAGTCATCTGCGAATGCTTGCAATTTATAGCTTTCATCTCTGATTCTAGTGCCCTTAATATCCATATAATCTCTAATATTTCTATTTAACACTTCTAGAATCAATATAAACAACAGTGGTAATAAAGGACATCCTTGTCTCGTGTCCTTTTGTATGTCTATAAAGTTTGTAAATTCTCCATTAATTATAATCCTAGCTGACTGTTTTTGATAGATGCTTAATTTTGCGTTAATTTTTTCACCAAACTCCATTTGAACTAGTTGTTGCTTCATAAATTGCCAGGTGACATTGTCAAAGGCCTGTGCATCCATGAATAATAACACCATTGATTTTTCAGAATGTACCTCATAATACTCTAAAATGTCCAAGAAGATTCTCATATTATTCCTCATTTGTCTTTTAGGTAAAAAGCCATTTTGGTCTAGATGTATAAAGTCTGTTAGATACTTCTTTAGTCTTTCTGCCATTACAGAGGCAAAAATTTTGTAATCCACACTTAATAGTGATACAGGTCTGTAGTTCTGGATCTGTGTCAAGTCCGTATCTTTCGGTATTAGTGTAATGTTTGCCTCTGTCCAAGTATTTGGTATTTTAGCATCTAGCAATGCTGCGTTACATATACCCTTAAGAGGCATAGACAAGATTCCTTTGAAAGTTTTATAGAACTCTGCTGGTCACCCATCCAGGCCGGGGGTTTTTGTCTGTCTTTTGTCTCTTAATTGCCTCAGTTATTTCTATCGCTGTTACTTCTTCATTTAATGCTTTTTGGTATTTCTCTGGTAGCTTTGGTAGTTTTCCCCTTTGTATATACTCATTAACTTTCTCAGTTGAAATCTCATTATTCGGATACAGCTTTGCAAAGAAATCATCTGCTATTTTCTTCATTTGCGTGCTTTGTACTTGCAGTTGTCCTTCTCCATCCTTCAGTGTATATATTAATCTCTTTTTTCTTTCCTTCCTTCCTTTATAAGCTGACCATCTCCCTAGTTTATTAGCATTTTTGAAAAAAAAATCTGTTTAGTCAGTTTCATTTGCTTGGTAAGTTCATTTGTATCTAAGAGGTTCAGATAGTGTTTTAAAATATTCATTTGTGTCTTAAGGTCTTTTTTTAGATGGATCTTCCTGTAGCTACTGTTCAAGCTTCATCAATTCCTCTACTAATTTAGATAGTTCCTGCTTTCTCATTTTATTTATTTTTGCTGAGTATATTATTATCAGTCCTCTAACATAGGCTTTAGCTGTATCCCTAACATTTTGCAAAGAGGTTTCTTCAGTTTTATTGATTTTAAAAAATATTTCCATTTCTTTATTTATCTCTTCTTTGATTTTTTTTATCCTCTAATAAGGCTTTGTTTAAGACCCATCTGGGTGTTTTTACCGTCCCTTTCAATGTCATTGTTACAGGATTATGCTCTGCCCAGGCATTTGTCTCTATTTCAACCTCTAACAGGTCTGGTACTAAGTCTGCGGTTACCCAAATCATATCAATTCTGGACCACGACCTATGTCTATTCAAATAGAACGTATATTTAGCAGAGGTTGGGTTTTTATGTCTCCAAACATCTATCAATCTAAATTCTTCAATTATGTTAAAGCAAGACTTTGGAAGTATCCTCCTGCCTTTCTTCTCCTTAATCTCACTCTTATGGTCCATTTTCTTGTCCACAATTGTGTTGAGATCTCCTATTAAGCACACAGTCTGATAATCAAATTGCAAAAGTCAAGTATTTAATTTTTGGTAGAACATTTCCTGGTGGTCACTTGGGGCATAAATCGCCACTAAAAGCACCTTTTTAAATTTCATTGTAACTTCAACCATCAGAATCCTACCATCTTCATCAGCCTATATTTGTTTGGGGTCTAATTTTTCCTGGATAGATAATGCTAGACCTCTTTTCTTTTGAGAAACGGAAGATATAAATAGCTTTTCAAGCTTTGGACATTCCAAGAGTTTACTGTGTTGTTTCTTGTAGACAAATTAAATCTAGCTTCAATTTTTGGAGTTGAGAGAAAGTCCTTCTCCTCTTAGAAGGCCAATTTAGTCCATTTACGTTTAGAGAGAACAATTCAATTCTCCCTTCCATTATAAGAGCCGTATTTAAAAGGTATATATTTATCTACTTGTGAGAAGCAGTTTTTGTTCTCAGGTTAGAACACTGGATCTTGTTGGACTGGGGATCAGGAGTGCCCTCGCTGCATCGCTTGCTCAGGATGAATAGCATGACCAACTCCCATTCTTGGAGCCACCAGGAAGTTGCCGTAGCTTCTCTAATGGTGGCATCACCCTAACCGGACCCTGGCAGTAATGGCAAGGCTGCCGTTCTTTGAGAGGAGTGTTAGGTTCATTATTTGGGGTAACTAGTTTGGCTGTGTAATGACAAGAATGACGAGAGAGAGTGTGGCCTGACAGACACTGTTTGAGCTGTCAACAGCCTTGTGTGAGCGTGTTCGTACTGCAGCAGAGACGGATGTGAAAATAACTGTAATAATTAAAATAGTGGTGTGCTAATGTGACAGCATGTTTTGCAGATACAAAAGAAAACTCCTGATAAATGAATTTGGAAGAGAAAGGAAGCTGTCCACTGGAAGGTAAGACGAAAGCTCATTCTCCGGAATGATGAAATGCTGGTCCTGAGGATTTCTGGCCCGATGGTGTTCTTGCAGTGGCTGAATAGAAAAACCTTCTCCATTCTTCATCTGTTTGCATGTGGATTTTCTTCCTGGTCAGGCTGCAGAGCTGAGCCCTTTATTATCAGAAGTTTTACAACACACATCCGTGCATTTTCACAGTGCCTTTAAAAAGTGGAAGATAAAATAATATTTAAAATATTACATCTAGAGTTGAAAAGAACTCTGCATGGCACTGAGATTGCAACAAAGATGCCTGGAAATTGTCTCTGGGATTTCAAAATTGGGTGTCAGCACTGAGATTGCTGGGCTGCTTCTTTCCATAAACTGCCATCCTACCTCAGGTAGCAAAAAATGTACAGAAGGGCCTTTGCCGAGTATTTTCCTGTGTATGTGGGATCGCGGACCTTTGGGTATCCTGGTCCAAAGCCAGGAAGCACTGAACCAGGAGAGGAACCAAAAGCCCGTGCAGTTGACTAAGCACAGCGTAATACAATGCTCAGGCCCTGCGAGTGGACTAGCACGCTGTTTGAAATGCAGTGTTGTTGGGAGGTTGCGGCCAGGGCAAGGATACTGTATCGCATCCGGTGGAGGGAGGCGTTCTCTGCAGGCCTGCAGGAACACTAAAAAGTTTCCGTTCCAGGCTGGCTGGAACTTTGAACAGTGGCATTCCTTCTTGGGCATGGGAGTTCCTTGTTGATGCCACTCTGTGCAGCATCGAGCCGCCATGAAATAGGGTGTGTTAAAAATGAAAATCATCATAATTTCTTTTTAGTTCTGATTCCAAGGAGTTCCCCACAGCTGTGGAATTTGAGACAGATGAGGCTGTTCTGATGAGGAGACAGAAACAGATAAATTATGGGAAGAACACACTGGCATATGACAGATACATTCGAGAAGTTCCAAGGTAAATTTGGGGTGGGGAAGCAGCTTAATGTGTTGCTTATATGATTATGTGGGCAATTATCTTTTGAAAAAACAGATGGCTGTTCTAAGTTAACAATTATGAGATGCAGGAAATATTACAGCAATAAAAGGGAAATATTTGTTGTATTATAAGTAGCTGAATTGTTTGGTCTTGAATTTGGTGTGAAAAAATAGCTTGGCTTTAAAATGGTATTCAGCTTGATTTGATTTTTATTCCCATAGGTGCCTACGAGTTCCAGGGGTCCATCCAAGAACTCCAAATAAATTTAAGAAGTACAGCCGAAGATCTTGGGACCAACAGATCAAACTCTGGAAAGTCGCCTTGCATTTTTGGGACCCTCCTGCTGAGGAGGGCAGTGACACAGAAATAATGTAAGTGGCAGCTCCATTACAGTTTTGAACTTCAGGGACTGTTTTGATTTCTTCCAGTAAACGTTGAACTCCCCCACAAAATGCACACAGACAACCAGATTCAGGCTCTTATTTAAGGCAAGTTTGGACTGTGCGCGTACATGAACTGAAACCTAGCTGGTTAAGACGCATGCACTGAGTTCAACTCAGCTTTTCTTTGTAATGAAAACTGAACGATGGGGTAATAGCTGCCCTTTACAAATGAGACGTTGTGAGCTATGGACTGGAAAATCATTTTAGGCACTGTGTTTCCTCTCCAGACAATATTGTCCTTGGTTTGCCTGGGATAATGCACTGACTCTGTGCACACAAATCCCCCCCACACCAAAAGCAAGATGGTGCAAGAGGGAAGAGATTTCTAACCAAGCAATGTGCTTTTTTAAAGGATCGGCCAAAAAGCATTGCTTACCTCGACATTCGTGCATTCTATGAAGCCAATTCTCTTCTTTTTTAAACGGTAGAATTTGCTCAGTAAATTCGGGGTGGGTTGCCTCTCCCAGTGCTGCAGTTTCCCTCAGTGCCACCTCCAAGATTGCAGTTTGGCAATGCCCAAACTCTGGCGCGATCTCTTCCTGGGCTGCCGGGTGCCGACTTGGCTGGCTGGTTGGTTGAGGTGTTTTCAGCCGTGAGCAGTGGGAGTGGATGTTGCGGCTTCATTTTGAGCAGCCCCAGTAGTAGGATCTGGTGTTGGTCCCTTAAGTTGGTAAAATGTGGTGTTACATTTTCAGTGTGCTTTCATATTTTGTTCTTATTGGTAACATATTTTGTTTTCACTGATCGTGATTGCAAACGGTTCTCGGTTTTACCTTGTTGTGATGTTGGGCTTTGTTTTATATTTTAAATGTTTGTAAACTGTCCAGAGGGCTGACTGGCTATAGGTGCGGCATGGAAATGTTTTAAATAAGCAAATAGTTTTATTACTTGGTTGCTTTATACTATATTTTATGTCACTGCATTGATTGTCTTTTTGCACTGCCCTGAGAACTTCAGCTCCTGGACAGTATAGCAATACAAGGAAAAGCAAATGTAGATATGCACAAAGGTACTGATATTGTGAAGTTGCTTGCAGTGAGGGTGACGCTCTGCCTGGCAACAGAAGTGATAAAATCAAGGACAGCTTAGCCAGCTGCTGCATCTTAATCCTTCTGGGAGTTACTCCATGGCATGCTGCAGTGATGTAGCCGCGCATTGGTCACCTTCAGCGAGCACATCACTCAGTATTTGGTGGTTATTTGGTTGAAACTTAACCAGACGAACAAATTACTGCTTGAATATTTGGTGCAGTGGTGATGATGGTGGTGGTGACATAGCAAACAGTGATATCCAGCAAACGACTGCATTTGCCAAGATCTTGGAAATGGAGAGTTGGAATTTTCTAACCATAATTCTGGCTGCAAATATAGATCCTGATGGGGAGTAGAAACCATGGTTGATGCCCACTGTGGAGAGACAGATGCAGATGGTGGTCGAAATCAGACAGCCCCTTTATTCTCAAGTTCAAAATGCTGATTTTGCCATCTGTTTTACTTTTGCAGCACTGTTGACCTTGGTGATATGGAGACAGAATCCGTAAGAAGTCATTCGTCTGGGTCACAAGAAAATTTGCAAGACAATGATGTAAGTCGTTCAAAGTTCAGAGCTGCTGAACGGTCCTGTGTTACCAGTTGTGTCCTAGGCCACTGATGCTACCCCAGAGTGCCCTGACCAGCTGGGGCTGCTTCCTCCACTCTGCTTAGCTAGAGGTCAGAGTCGAGGCACCCACTGAAGGGATGCGTGTGTTTCCAGGTGTGGTAATCGTTTGCCGACCCTCTCCTTCCAGGAACACTGTACCGGCACACCCACCAAGGTGAGGAGCATCGACCGCCTGGCCAACGACGAGTGTCTGCCGGAGGCGAGGCCCTGACGCTCCGGGGCTCCGCGGATGCATTCTGCAGGCCATCTGCCAGCCAGGCAGGCATCCGCACGAGGGTCTCCAAGGGAGGCAGGCAGGCAGGTGCAGCCCTCCCGTGCCACAGCCCAGGGAGCTGGGCCGTGGCCTCGCCAGCAGGGTTCCTCCTGGCTGCCGTGGAGGCGCAGCGCGCGCATTAAGCAGAATCGGGTCCATCCAGTCGACTCCCGTGAAGCAGGTGACTTTATGCGCGGTGGTTCAGATGATCCCGGGGAGGTTGTGGCCCTTCAGCAGTCTGGAAACATGGAACATGGGTAGGACTTCCTTCGCATAAATGCCCATTTTTATCCCCCGTTCTGTATATGTGTTGAGTTTATTCGGCTCAGTGGCCCTTATGCACAGCCCAAGAAAATAAGAAGCAGTTGTTCTCCGTGCAGTCCTGCAGCCCCTGCGGCGATGAAACGGGTTGTGGCGTTCTTTGGACTGACCGCTTGATGCCACTAAGCAATAACCGCCATGCGACGAGCGAGCGCGCTGCTTTCCTTGGGAAACATCCGACCCGGTTTCCAGGCCTGCCTCAGAGCAGCTGATCTCCTACGTTGATCTGAATCGGTCTTGTAAATAGTTGTGTGCAGGTTTTCACTAGCTTTTGCAAAAGAATGACCAGAACTTTGGAGACCTTCTATTTTTATTAATTTTTAATGTCCAACTATAGAATTTTTACTGAAATCAGTTGCTTGTTTTTGTATAGCAAAAGCTTAAATAAAGCAGGAACATCTTAATTTGTATGGTGTAGATTTTAAGTTGTGTCTTTTAAGTGTTTGGAAAGCAAGACCCGAGAACACAAAAGATTCCACCAGGAGGCCACCAGGACCGCTGCTCACGACTGACTGGGAGGCCACTCGGCCCAGCTTCGCATCTGCCCAGGCTCAGAGAGCAGGCTGGCGGCGGTCGAGGGGCCCTGCCTCCGAAGGAGTTGGCCTCGCCGCCTGAGGCCCCATCTGTGCGGGTGCTCAAAGATAGACTGGACATGCACATGGGGGGCATGTCGTGAGCGGAGCCGGCTGGAGCCGGGGGTCAGACTAGCTGGCCCGGGAGGCCCCTCCTGACTCGCTCTGCTTCTGTGTTTCTCTCTGGATGTGCATTAGTGTGCACAGGTGGCCGCTTGCCCTGCTCCAGGGAGGGCTGGGAAGAGAGCTCACGAAGTGCTGCGCAGGCTGCCGCTGTCCTTGCTCTCGCTGCAGCTGCTGACGCTGTCACAGCTCCCTCCCTCCCTCCCTCCCTCCCTCCCTCGGGAGATAGCCAGCCAGCCAGCCAGCCATCTGGCTTGGGGGCGGGAAGTTGGCCCACCTCCTTGGCTCCTCACCCCTGCAGACTCCAGCCTGCTTTCCTTCTCCCTGCGAGGGCGGCCTGTGCCTGCTGGGCCAGCGGAGGTTTGCTTCCGCACAAGTGACCTGCGGGTCACGGGGCTGGTCTTGGCTTGCATAAGGAAGCCAGGCTCCGCCCTGATCCCTGACGCGCCTGCCAGTGCTCCCTGGGGAGGGAGCCCCACTGGCCTCTCCCCCGGCAGCCCCCTCCTGCGGTGGCACTGGCCAGCATGGCTCCCTGCAGCTGCTGCCGGGGGGGGGGGTGGTCTTGGCAGAGGCCCCAAGACCAGGGAGGCAGGGCCCAGGGCAGGCGGAGGGTTGTGCACCGGCCAACGCCTGGCCCTCGGGCAGAGGCAGGCCGTGGTCAGGAGCCAGGAGTGTGTCTGGACGTGGCAAGGGAGCGGTTTTGAGGAGGCCCAGGGCAAGAACCAGGAGGACAGCCGAGCGGGGAGCTCTGCCCGGGCCCCTGGGCTGCATCGGGCAGCGGCCGAGCTCAGCAAGGAGCTGCCTGGCAAGGGTCCAGCACGATGCAGGAGAGACTGCTCTTCCCCCAGCTGCTGCTGCTGCTGCTCAGAGGCCACTCCTGCCCTTCCCAGGGTGGCCCTTCCCACACTGGCCGTCGGGGGGAGGGCCTTGCTGAGCATGGGGTGATGCTGTTGGAAGGGAAAGGGCTCCCGGGTGCGAGTGCAGAGCGCCTGCGGCCTGGAGCCACTGTGGAGGGGCCTTGTCTTCCTACCTCTGCAAAAGGCGAGGCAGATCTCCATAGAGGGCTGTCCGGTTTGCCACTAGGGGGCGGGGGCGTGCCATCTGAAGCCCGGCTCTCCCGCTTGGGTAGGTCAGGTCAGACGGATCAAAGGACTGCTTGAGATGCAGGAGGAGCGTGAGGGGGAGGCCTCCTGGGTGGATGGAGGGCACGAGGCTCCATGTTGTTTCCGGGGCCCCAGGTGGGTGTGAATGGGATTTGGGTCACTCGGCTTCTGCCTCCCCAGGGGCAGTGCGGGGGGGGGGGGGGGGGGCTTTCCCGGCGGGGCTGGGGCTTGTGTATGGCTTTCCCCGGGCCAGCCCTGCTGGAACAGTGTGGGGCAGGCTCGGGGCCAGAGGCAGCGGGGTGAATGGCGGAGCTTTCTCCTGGCGAAAGAGGAGCGGCCTGCCATCGCTAGAGGGCGCAGAAACAACACCCGTGCCCATGCTAGTGCAGGGACCGCAGAGCGCTGGCCGGGTGCAGCAGCGGCACCGCGGTGTGGTGGCCACATGTGGCAGTGCGGGGCAGAGGACTGCCTTCCGCTTCACGGGCTGCCACCAAGCCTGGTTTTGGGTCAGAGGAGTCTAAGGGGAGAAGGCAGTGCTTGCTGCGTGCCGACACAAGACCTTGCACTTATCCACACTGAACGCCATCCTGTTGTCTCCTGCCCACTTCCATAGTCTGTCCAGATCCTTTTGGATCTGGAGTACCTGCTCCTCAGTTGTGGCCACTGCCAGTTTTAGTATCGGCTGCGAATTTGATCAGCAGACTGTTCAAACCTTCTTCCATGTCACTGATGAAAAGATTAAACAGGATTGGCCCCAGGACAGAGCCCTGGGGGACCCCGCTTGTCACTGGCCGCCATCCCGACGATTCCCCCCAATGGTTACCCTCTGCCTTCGGTCAGTCAACCATGCCCTAATCCACTGGACAGTGCTTTGGTGTATCCCAAACTCCTCAGTTTCTTCCCCAGGATATCATGGGGCACTTTGTCAAAGGCCTTGCTGAAATCCAGGTATACCACATTCACTGCATCCCTTCCATCTAGCCATCTTGAACCCTTGTCATAGAATCCCACAAGGTTTGTCTGGCAGGACCTGTCTTTGCGGAAGCCGTGTTGTGTGGTTGCTGCTGCTGCTGCTCCTACTGCTACTGCAATGGCCAAGTATAAAGAAAGAGAAAGAACAATGGAAGAGGGCAAACAGTTTTCTTCCAGAGGAGTCAAGAAATCAAAGGGAAATTCACACCTAGATAAGGAATGCTGGAAGACCAACTGCAAAGTGTACTATCTGACGGAAAAACTGAAGAGAAGATGGGAACAATCTATGGAAGAGCCATAAAGAAGAGACGGAAGGATGCCTGGGTGAGGGCTGCATGAAGAGGTGGGGGTCTGCTGGGTTCCCGGAGCTTTGCCGCTTGGAGGCGAGTCGTCCTCGCTGCAGCCATCATGTTCGGCTCCGCGTTCCTGACAAGCGTGCCCAGCGCTCCCCTGTGCTCACCAGGAAACGAGCCCCGTGCAAGCGCTGTGCAAGCAGCGCTCCTCTCCTGCACACTTGTTGCCGCGCGTGGCAAGGAAGGGGGCTGCAGGGGCACCCTGGCTCTCCGCGAGCGCTCGCGGACCCCCTTGCTTTGCCCACTTCCTAGGGCAGGGCTGAGCAGAAGGGGGGTCTGGGGCCGAGCGGGATGGGTCCTGCGGCACTTAGTTGCAAGTCCAGGCAGACCTCTGTGAAGACTCCTCCTCTGAGGAAGGGCCAGCGATGTTAGAAGGCGATGCGTCGGCTCTTCTGAGGGCGCGTGCCGGGAGTGAAGCACCTGAGCCGGCAGAACTGTTCCAGGCTGACAAGACTGAACTGGCCCAAATGCTGCCAGGAATGGGTGGCAAGCAAAGGCCCACAGGCTGGAACCCCCAAGAGTGGAGATGCCAAGGGATCCTGCGCAGCAGCCACGCCAACTGCCCGGCCGTGAGATGGCTCCACGCCCCAAAGGAAGCCACGGCCTGAGTTCGCAAGAGCGGAGTAGGGCTGTCAAGGGCAGGCCTGTTTGGGGGCACGCACTGGCTCCACCCGAGCCATTGGTTGGACGTCCTGGGCATTGTGTGCCCAGGGTCTGGCCCAGATGCCCAGGAAAGTTCTCTTGCCTTGCCCTGTATACTCCAAATGTCTCCGAGGGCGTCCCCTTTTTCTTGCTGCCCTTCCAGTCTTTGAGCACAAGATGGCAGCAAAGAACACGGAAAATGTGCTCCAGCTGTGACTAAGGCAAAGGGGAACCCTCCTCTTCAGTCCACAGATAGTAAGTAGCATTCTAAAATTTTGATTAAACATGGCTCCAAAACCAGCCAGGTGCAGCATTACGGAAAGCTGCTGTCAAGGGTTGTGTTTATATTAGGTTATAGTTTTATTAATACCTATCTATCTATCTATCTATCTACCTACCTACCTACCTACCTACCTACCTACCAAATTTGTATGCCGTCCATTACTTCAGTCTCTGGACGGCTTACAACACTATTTCAGAATAAAATAAGTTAACTATTTCACGCTGGCTGAACATCATATAAAATATAAATAAATCTTCTCACAGTTAAAATATATTAAAATATTGATCGAATAAAAAAGTCTTGACCTGGCGCTGAAAAACATATAATGATGGCGCCAGGCGGACCTCTCTGGGGAGCGCATTCCACAGTCGGGGCGCCACCGCAGAGAAGGCCCTCCTCCGGGTGCTCTGTCTCCTGACCTCTTTCCCGGAGGGTTCCCGGAGGAGGGCCTCTGCTGCCGACCTCAGGGGGCGGGAGGGCAAATGGGGAAGAAGGCGTTCCTTTAGGTATCCTGGTCCCAAGCCATTTAGGGCTTTATAGATAATAACCAGCACCTTGAATTGACCTTGGACTTCGATGGGAAGCCAATGGAGCTGACAGAGGACTGGGGTTATGTGAGAGTAACACCCAGTCCCCGTCAGCAACCTGGCTGCTCTACTTTGCACCATCTGAAGTATCCGGACCGTCTTCAAGGGCAGCCCCACATAGAGCGCATTACAGTAGTCCAAACAGGAAGTAACCAATGCGTGTGTCACTGTTGCTAGGCAGTCCTCCAGGTAGGGGCACAGCTGATGGATTAGCCGAAGCGGGAGGAAAGTGCTCCTCGCCACCGCCGTCACCTGGGCTTCCAAGGACAGCTCTGGGTCGAGGAGGACTCCCAAGCTGTCCTTCAGGGGGAGTGCAACCCTGGCCAGGGCAGGGCCCAAGTCACCTACCCGGGAGCTCGAACCACCCACCAACAGGACCTCTTAATACACCAAGAATGTGTCACAAATATAAAGCAATAAATACAAATGGAATCGAATCTCTTCTCTGTCCCAATCCTATGGGAAGCCAGGCTCAGCGCCTGCTGTTCTCTAACGGTGCATTCGAGCCGCTTCCACGCGGGCTCCCCTCGTGCCACCTGTGGCTTGCGTGCTGCGAGCGATGCTCGGGTCGCACCCAGCTTTCTCGCACCCTCTCAGCTTCAGGCCTCTGTTAGGCCAGGTTGGAGACGATGCACGCATTGCGTTGCGTCTTGCGCACTGTGTCCTGCGTGCGCCGCATTCCCATGCCGTTGCTGCCGCCTCTCTCTCCGTCCGGCTCCTGCAAGCCGGTCTCCTGTGCCTCGCGCTCTCTTGGCTGGGGCAGCCCGAC